TGGGGGGGGGGGGGGGAGGCGACGCCGCCGGGTTTGATAACAAACTTTTTGGGCATAGTGGGTCAACTTTACTTTTCCGTTCTTCTTCTTCTGAGTCCTAGAAAGGTACCTCAATTCCTAGTTGCTATGTGGCCACGGAAGGTGTCCGCGTCACCTGTACGAAGGTGCTGATCGGAGACCGCAACATCCTTCTTTATGTGAACACAACACAACACCAGCAACAACAAAAGAGGCCAATGTTCCGTACGACCGATGTCCGCCGTGCAGACATGTGCCTTGCCACAAAACCCTCCCACTGACGTCCTTGTAAACTACTAGCGCTTGAGGCTAGTGACTCGTCGCAAAAAGTGGTTACCACAGGCTTCACGTTCCGTCCCACGATGGCACGGCCGTGGTGCCGTGGTGCCTTTTTTTTTTACACCGGCCAAGGGCGGCAACAAGAATTTGTTTTCGGGCAGCTCAGCGCCAGCCTACGCATCCAATCGAGGGCTGCGTCGAGGCCGAACAAGGACGTGGGGCCCCGCACGTCCCGACAGAGACCGCCTGTGACACACACTACATAATCGCAACATCCACCAGCTACAGACTTGGTGTGGAAAACAACGACAATTGTACTATCGTCGAATTGACGACGGAACACGCGCACCCGGCCTCAGTAAGTACCAAGTTTAGGAAATAGGGTTCAAATAGAAGCATAATTTTAGGCCGTCCGTTGGCTACCCCCTGGATCCACGCAACCCACAAAGGTCAGCTTCTCGCAGGCCGTCGACATGCCTCGTGCTCCATCTTAGCCAAAACAATCCAGCCAACAAGCACCACAACACAGGTTTATTCCAGCCTGTGCGGCAACAACCTCCACTCTTGATCCGACGCGAGAGCTCAAACGAAAAAAAAAAAAATCCATCCACCAAGAAAATCAACAACAAAACGCCACAGCAGTACAACGTACAGTACCACATACTTCTTCAAGCCAGCAGTGCGACGACCTCCTTGCATTCCGATGCGGAGCTCACAAAAAAAAAAAAAAACTCACCCCCGGAGGCCGTATCCTTGATGTTGAAGAACCTCACGTCCGGGTTCCAGACCTCGGCCTCCCCGTCCGCCGGGGTAATAGATACCCCGAACAGCCGCCCGGCCAAGTCAAACATGCCCTCCAGCACCTGCGTGGAAAACCAGTTTTTGATCGGGCGGGGCGGTTGTGATGGCGGCGCACCGTTAAAAAAAAAATAAAAAAATTACACCGAAAGGTCGTCTGTCGCGGCTACTGCTGCTGCCGTCGACGCTGCTCTTGCCCCCGGTAACTGCACGAACCGACACGCGTGCAGGGCTAGCAAACAAAGCTGTTCCGATTTCAACCATAGTGCTGGCCAACTAGGTATACAGCAGTTGTGGAGATTTATGACCATTGAGCTGAAAAAACCGGCAGCCACAACGCTTCCAACGCCAGTACACAGTGTTAAGTGTTTATCAACGCAACTAATACCACTACAACGTCTTGCCAACGCGACCGGTACCACTATAGAGTGCTCCTCACTCTAACCCTACGAATAGCTCCAATACGGCGGTGACCATGAGGCACGCTGGAGTTCTGACCATACAGCAGCGTCGATGGCATACCGTAACACGCCTACCGCCGGCTTACCTCGGGCAGGGAGAAGTAGGGGCGGAGGTCCTCCTCGCTGAAGGCGTACAGCTCCTCCTTCCGACGCTCGCTCCTGCAAAAAGAACAAAAGAAAAAAAGCATACACACATAAAACGTATTATTATCCCGCTACCAGACAGGAGTCATTTTATTGTTCAGCCGGTAAGCGCGGTCGGTGCGAGTTCAAGAAAAAAGAAAAACGCACATAAGCACACACACCCATATCACGTCACGGACGGTACCGACGATGCTTTATCACTCCCAGAACAGTTTCAGCTGTGTGTTGAACGTTTGACGTGACGTGCATCGTTTTCGGTGATGATAGTGTTGTCCAACTACTTCGAACTTTGACTTCCTCGTTGGGGTCACCGCTGTTCACGGTTAACGGACATGACAACACAAAAAATGTGTCGTTGGCAGGGATGGTTTCAATCCTTGGGCTGATGACTACGTACTGCATGCATTTATGCCTTCAATTTCTCAGGTCGGTGTCGTGCGGCCGTGTCGGCGTTAGCCATAGGCCTGGCGCCAGCAGAAGAAGCAACAGCAGCAGCAGACTATCAAACTCAGCCAACAAGAACATGAGCAGTAGCAGCAGTAACACCACCACCAACAACCGCTACAGCATCAACCCAAACAACTACAACAGCAGCGGTACCACCACCATTATACCACCAGCAAGGACGGCAGCAGCAGCAGCAGCAGCAGCAGCAGCAGCAGCGACAGCACCAAGACTCAACCAACATAAAACATCAGCAAAAACGGCAGTAGCGACAACCACCACCACCATCACCAACAGCATGGTGATCCCTACCGTCACAACCACCAACAGCATGGTGATCCCTACCGTCACAACCACCAACAGCAGTACCCAACAACATCCTTCTCTACCGCCACCGACAACAGCAACAACACTCGCCAGAAAGCGACGTCCCACAGCGTGAGCTCCTCGTCGTTCCCCTTTTCCTTGGCGTACGCCCTAAGCTCCTCCAGCTCGCGTTCGGCGGCGGGGTAGCTCTTCTCCCTCAGCATCGCGGTCAGGTCGTCCACGGCCTCAACGCTATCCGCCATCTACTCCAAGTTTCCCAAACCGGCGGCGGCGGCAGCAGCAGCAGCAGCAGCAGCAGCGGCAACGGCAACGGCAGCAGCGGTAGCGCCAGTAGCGGTGGGGGCAGACGCATGCACGAAGGGCAAAAGAGGCACTGTTTCAACGAGTGAAAATTGACGGTGCTACAGCAGTGCTGCAGGGTGTCATATCGAGGAAGTGCCCACACAACTCGAACTAGTCAGCACACGTATCATACGCGGGGCGGTCTTGTTCCAAATCCGCACGTCGGAGACTGTTCATCTGGACCGGACGGGGTACAGAGGTAGAGATGCGCTCCAGCGAAGACATGTTCGGAGGCACTGTTTTGTTTTCTACTTGTGAGAGTGAAAAAACGTCCGTCGGCACAGTATACTGGATGAAAATCCAAGGCCACTTCCCAACAATACTAGCCTTCACAGGGTTTTTCGACTATGTAAACATGTTGGATAGAGCATACAATCGGGGAAGTTGGGTTAGGGTCAGGGTTAGGGAATACGGTCTGCGTACCCCCTCCCTGTTCTACATCCTCGTCAAACTTCATTTCTCTCGAAGGCGGTCCACTCCAAAACGCGCAGCTAAGTGGTTTCGAACACTGACCCCGAGACTATCGCCGACAGAAAAAAAAGCACCACCAGACACCAGACCGCCCAAATTGCAATACTACACACACACATGTGAAGAGAGGGAATCGACCTCGACAGAAATTGGGAGATTGTACCCTTTATGAACGGTATTTCTCCACACACACACTCAATAAAACCCAAGCCGGCACATTCGTTGTACGGTACCTTCGAAGCCAAGGACACCTCGGCGTAGCTCCCGTAGCCCAGCAGGCTCGCCATGGTCTTCTTGAGCTCGAGCACGCGAGCGATGTGCGGCTCGTTGTCGAGGGACTTGCCGTCTTCGCCCACGCTCACGCTGCTGGCCCTGGTCGTGAAGGCGCGGTAAACCTTTTCCCTCACCTGAACAAGAGGGAGGGACACACACAGAGGGAGAGAACGGGTGGGACACGAGAGGGACAGAGAGAGACACAGAGAGACAGAGAAAGAGAGAAGGAGAGAGGGAGAGAGAGAGAGCAAGAAAGAACATAAAGAGAGAGAGAGGGGGGGGGGGACAGGGAGATAGAGAGGGAAAGAGAGACAGAGAGAGAGAGTGAGAGAGAGGGAGGGAGGGAGGGAGAGAGGGGGAGAGAGAGAGAGAGATAGCGACGAGAGAGACAGCGACGAGAGAGAGAAAGTGAGATAGAGATGTTTGTTGATCTACAAGTACAGCAGTAGGCGTACTGTAGATGGGCCTGGTTTACAGTTTGATTTATCTACAACAGCAGCAGTAGTTGCACTGTAGTGGGAGAAAATAAGAAACTCTAAATAGCAGACCATCCCGACCAAGTTTACTAGTCCCGAAAACACCAATCCCGTAAAGTTATCAATTGTTTTCTCCAGCTCAAGTGCGTATGCATACCTCCCTGTTCTTCAGGTGCTGCATGCAGGGGAGGTAGCTGGGCATGTCCAAGGTGAGCCTCCAGGGACCCTCCTCGGGAGTTGCACCTTCTTCTCCGGCCGCCTGCAGGGGGGGGGGGGGGGGGGGACCCCTAGTCGGGGCTGGCCAAATCCTTTGACCCTTGGCCCCCCAACCCCACCAAACCGGGGAGGGAAAAACCGGGGTTTCCCCGGAACC